CTAATTAACTAACTAATCTAAAGAATAAAATTGGGAGTTTAGAACTAGGGGACACCTCATGAAAGGACCTATTTGGCTGACGTCAAATAGCTTTTTCCGAATAAAACTTGCCCGGCCACCTAGTTGTTGTTTGTCGTATTTCTACAAAAACTTGTTTGGCTTGACAAAAAAGTTCTAGGCGTGCACGTCCTGGTAGATCTTGTCCAGACGTGCTCACTCTTCTCGAAGTTGTTTGTCACTTTGTTCACAAGTTGTCTGGCCAAGCAAGTTTGATCTGACCAAAATTTTCAAAAAGCTTCCTCTATGTTCTCATTCATTTTCGCTTTTCTAGCTCTCTTTTCTGAAAAATATATAAACCACTTTGGAAAACATAATGCCAAGAATGGCCAAAATGGATGAAAATGTACCACTTGCCTTAAAAATATTTTGAAGATAGGTTTTAAAGGTCCAAAAAACTAATTGGCCAAAATGGGTGTAGAAGGTATGTCTCTATTCATCCCTAATTTGTTGCTTGAAACGATCTCTATTTTCATCATAGGGAGCTTTTCATAGAGCGCCCAAGTCTTAAGGCCAGTCAAAAATGAAATGTCTTTAAGAAGTCACACTAAAGGGTTCAAACAGGCACAAATTGATTATTTCACCAAATGGGTAGAGCTAGCATTGTATTCAGTGTCGAAAGCATCACATATGGTCAAGGTCATCAGGAATAACGTCATCTGCAGATATCAAGTGCCAGATAAAATAGTATTAGTCAACAACTCACACTTTAAAGGAGAAGTAGTATATTTGCTCGAAAAATACAATGTCGCTTTTCAGAAGTCATCAACATACATGCCACAAACTAATGGAGTCATTGAAACTGAAAACAAAAACATTCTACGAAAGATGGTGGAAGCTTACAAAGACTGGCCTAATAAGCTATTTTTTCCACTTTGGGTATATAGGACATCAATTCGAACATCTCGGGAGCAACCCTTACTCTTTGGTATATGGAATTGAGGCTATTCTATGTATTGAGATTGAAGTGCCTTCACTACGGATCGTGGCTGAGTGTTAGATCACAAAAACAAAATGGCAACATAATTGATTTGAAGAATTAATGTTGTTTGAAGAGAGGAGGTTGAAGGCATTATACCACATTCAGGAATATTAATGTAGAATTACTAGAGCATTCAACAAGAAGTCAAGTCCAAGAATCTGAGGGAAATAGATCTAATGCTGAAGGATAACCGAACTCCTATCCACGACCCTAGGGGCAAGTTCCCTACATCATCAAAACCATTTGGTCAAGAGTAGTCATTCTCATGGACCTCGATGATTTGGGGTTTTCACAAACGATCGACATGGACAACGTAAAGAAATACTACCCTTGAAAGACTCACTAGGCTGAAAATTCGAAACGGCAACTTAGGCAAAAGTTAGAGCATTCAAAATAAAAATGTATAAAAAAAAAGCTCGCAAGGTTAAAAACTCAAAATGGCGGCTTTGACAAAAGTTAGAGCACAAAAGGGGAGTGTTAATTCCCAAATAAACCTTAACCATGAACTACATATAGCCTAATTCCAATCTTTAGGATACATAGGAAACTTCACTTCGAAGTTTGATCCCAACCTTGTTTGACTCAGTTGTCCTATCCATGTTTGATCTAGTTATTCCCATCCTTGTTTGACTCGATTATCCAAACCTCTACAATGTGGAACATTCATTGGCAAGTGGATCAGTGCAGAAGTTTAGTTGTAAGTAGTGAATGCAGTGTGTTTGGTTTGGTTTATTGATTCAAAACTGTACATCTTGAGGATATGGGTTCCATGTTTGTCAAGTGTTGACCACTTTGATTTTTAATAAAGTTGACTGATTTTCTCGTATTAGTTCTTGCAAACTCAAACCATTCATGAAACAAAAAGGAGAAATTTTCAGTACTCGAACTTTAATTACATGATTTCAAAATAAAGAGTGGAATAAGTTCATTAATCTAACCCTCAGGTCAATCATAATCTTTTTACATCAGAAAACCAAAAAGGAGTGTGAAAGCAATGAAATAGTGGCATAGTCGAGTCCAGTAGAGGTGCTCTATCTCTTCCCTACTCTCTCTGAGGTCTTTGCCAACAAGGTGGCACCAATATGGGACTCCTCCTCAAGCCAACTCAGGCACTTGATAGATAAGGCATAGCTAAAGCCAGCAGAAGGAGCCAAAAGCTCCTTCATCCTCCAAGCAGTCAAAATTGGGACAGAAAGAAAGCAGGGTACTTGATGGCATCAACTGGACGAGTCTGATCATGGCCAAATTGTCACCTAAATCTAAAAGGGAATTAGTAGGTGCAATGAGTCAAACCAACTAACTACACCCCCGACTGGCAGAACATGCTATAAGTCATCTAGGACAAATCAAGCTAGGGGCATTACCAAACAATATCATCTGTAGACCTACTGCACATCCAATCACACCATAGACCCTTCGAAGAGAAACTCACCAACTAAGCACGGAAGGAGTAAGATCTGGCTAAATACCCACTACCTTCAATTTGTCCATCAATCATACCTAGGAAAAAATGAAAGAAAAGACAGATTAAAGAACAGAAAGGTGTAAAATGAGAGGACAAAGTGAGAAAAAGGGTTTTTGAGAGAAAATAGAGTGTTGATTGACAAAGTGATGTAAGAAACACAAAGTGACAACGGGTATGAAAGCAGATACTTGAAGGAGCAAGCCTGCATATCGCGAAGTATCGCGACGGCAAAGTGCATCTCGGCCCATTAAAGTCTTTCCCAACACTAAGCCAATGTAACTCTGACCCTTCTTAAGGCACTATTTCACCTCAACCAATCTGGTGCTAGCTTTACTACCGTTAGAGGTAAGCAAGAAATATGCAAGCAGGCACAAACAAAGGGCATGTTGGTGATACCCTTGCCATATAAAATCACTTCTATCTCTAGTACTCGAGCACCAACGGATCATGTCAAGAATGGCCAGCTCGCCGTCATGAGCAAAAGCACGTGCCTTACTCGGGGTGATACCACACATTTGAGCAAGGGCATGTCCATAACCAAAGGTGGGCTGAGGAAGGATCACATCATCTCGAGTACATTCCATCAATGCCCGAAACTCCTCAAAAGTCAAGCATAGCTCATGCATCATGAAGTGGAACACATGAGTGATCGAGTCCCAACAGCGGACAACATCATCATGGGAAAAAGGAAAGCATAAGGAAGTACGATTCAAGTAAAATAAGGCGTTCAGGTCAAAGCTGGAAAAATTGATCTTATATATGCCATCTAGGTTGGTATTCAATCCTCAAGCCTTGAAACAATCGAAACATCTATTTTTTAGAAGAAGGACGACAAAAATCACTTTTTTCAGCTCAAAAACCGAGAAAGATAGTGTTTTAAGTAGTTGAGATAACTAGGGGTGCATGACAACTGTTTCATTTTGTGCAAGCCAAAATATTACCTCGATCGTACAACAGTGGCCCGGCTGTACAGAACTAATGCCTGACTAGCCAACATTAGCTTAGTTGTATAATATTTCCAGACCTGGCATGGCAAATACTTCCAATTCATGAAAAAGGTACAGCTCACACCAAAACGTACCCGACCGTACAAAATGTTATCTGGCCGACAACAGAAGCCATGGCTAAGGCTGAAAGGTTCAAAAACAAGTTGATGCATTGTGGATTCAGCTTGAGTGTGTTGGTGGTCAATTTGAGTCCTCTTTCTTTCTAACAAGTGTATTTGGGTGTCTTTAGTTTGTTTTGACTTTGTTTTGCTTTCAAGTTGTATTCTTCATTTTGGTCAGTTATGGGCTCAATGTCTGACTTAGAAGCTCATGAAGTACAACCATTCCCCTTTCGTATTCTATTAAAGTGTTCTTGTGCTCAAGTACGGTGTGTGCCATACATACGTCATGTGCAATAAACTCTTTCTTTCATAAACTGAGGGTCGAAGCCCCTGATCAATTTTTATGACAATTTTCAAAAAAGAGTAAAGCTATACAGACGATGTTGTTTGGTTCTATTGCTAAGCAAAAGGAAAAGAAAGAAATAAAAAGAAAATCAACTCCCTGCAATATTGCGCCGTTTCCGTGCACGTGTACTAGAAGCATTCCTGTCATCATTGTTGCTAGACTCATCTTCCTCATCAACACTCTCGCCACTCTCACTACTCTAGCCACTAGCATTCTCACTGCTGGCCTCAGTCTCCTCGTCATCCCCCTCCTCATCCTCCTCCTCATGAGGAAGGGACCTCTATCTGCTGCACAACAACAACCTGATCACCTCTGCCACAGCCTGGATCATGCTTACCTCGCCCCTAGCGGGCTGCATCTTCTCTCCCCTGTATCAAAGGATGTACTCCTCTCCCGTGACCAGCTAGAGGAGGAACTCCTAGAACCTAAAAAGTCAACAATGAGCAGAGTATCCTAATAGATAATAAGGGTAGAAATGAAACAGAGTATCAGAAGTGTGTGGATTCAGATATTTGTGTACATAATGAATAGGGTATTAGTGCAAGTGTGCAAGGAAGACATATATGTAGGGAATTGGGATACTAGAAGCCCAGCAAAGCAAATGAGGAGTTCCCTCCGCTGCACCATGCCAAGCAAATCTCAATGAGAAGAAGACACTACTCAACATAGTCCGCTGGTGTCTACAAGCAAACAGAGCATCAATGAACAGATCGAGATAAAAGCAGTAAAAGATTAAGAACAGTGTGCAAGAATGCAAGGGAAATTTCATACATGCTGAACATTAAGAGAAAGTATTGAATGGTTGATATGTAATTTTAAAGGTGGATCCCATTATACAAAATTGAATTGAAGACCATCCAACAACATTCTAGACAAGTGTTTAAACTATTTTTTTCTGGATAAACAACTTTTTTTTGCTAAAAACCTGACTGTGTTTTGAGACTTCCGAGTCTCAATTGTATATCATGTTATTGAAAGTATATTTAGGATAAGAGGCAAGAAATTTGAGACAAACAATCCCTGGCCAAATCACCCAATTGCCTTAGTAGAACATTAACAAATGAATTGCAGTGTGTGCAATAAACACGAGAATTTGCTCAAATGAATCCATATTGGTCAATAACAAAAGGAAGTACATATCATTACATCAAATTATCACTCTCTCCCACTCTCACTCTCTCTCTCTCTCTCTCTCGCCCCACAATATCTATCGTAGACAATGAACTAATGACATTATCCAACAGTTTTAAAAGACTTATGAATGTGCCTTAGAGTTTGTTGGTCCCTATTCCACTCTGGTGTAGGCGCATTAACAAAATGGGCGTACAGCTTGTTATTAGCACAAGTAACAGATATCAAACTATGGGCACCAACACCATCAATCTCATACACATAATACACCTGCCCATTCTCGTCCTTCCTCTCCTCCGATGTCACGCTATCTGCGCTGGCGATCAAGTCTTGTAGATCCACATCTGACAAGGCCAAGTTATTCAGCACTGCATCTCTCGGTGCCAATTGCCGAAACCCAGATAGGAATGTCAAGTACTCTTTCTCTGCCTTCTTCTTCGGGTTGTAGAACTCGCTGTCAGTCCCATTCGTTCCCTTCTCAACCTTCGATACCA